AAGTCAGTTTGTTTCAACTTTAGCTGAGCCGTCCCATCCAACGCGAATACTGAAAATGGAATCCTGAAGATAAAAGAGCGAAAAGGCAAAAAGCTTTACTGCACAATCGTAGGTGGGTCGGGCACTTGTGCGGAACAACGTCACTGCTTTCTGCGCGTTGGCATTGTTGCAGGCCACTAAAACATATAAGGCAGGTTTCCGCCTGGCGATAGTTTTCGTCTGGTAGGCTTTCTCCCCACATAAGCCACAAATTTCTGTTTAACTACACTGCGACGTGGCGGATGTGACTCGCGATTCAATAAAATCACTGCCCCAAGCACACATCGGCAAGTTGACCGATACCTCATTTCACAAATTCTGTGCATATACGTGCTCTCGTACTAGCACGCCTGCATATATGACCAGTGAAATGCCACTATTCCTAAAATATTTTTGCAGCTATTTCCTCATGCTTTACTCACCTGACCCGCACTGTGTGCACAACCTCAACGGACTAGTTCTGCACCAACATAGACCCCATTAATGATCTACTTCTTCGCACTACATCGCATTCTGTGAAGATAGGCTTCATGCAACCTTTGAGCTATGTGGGCCTACACTACTGACTCCATCTGTACTACTCCCGCTCTTGGTCCTGCCATTCATGCTACCATGTACAAAATTGCACTATACTGAGCATGCCCAAAAGGCGTGTCTCGCTTCGTTATGAACAAAGTATATGTTAATTAATTAATTTATACCTTCCCTTTACATTTAGTCCGCAAAGTGGGCTTAAAGAAAACGCTTAACTTTCTACACCAATTTCACTTCGACCAGCGCTTGCGGCCATTTGTTCCAGTATTTCACTATGAGACGCTCGAAGCATTGAGGGTGAGCCATGCGCTTTACCTCCGGTACCACCAGTATGTACCGGTATCCGGCGGTGCTGCTTGTTGTGCGAACCTGCAGCAGCGGCTTCAACCTGGGGAGATGGCCCAGGGGTAGTATCCGGTGCGTCATAATTAAGTCAACAAGAAGCCAATGGTATTGGTTCGAGGGTATGGGTCCTCGGACGACACCCCGTAAACCGCTGATGAGCAGGCTAGCCACCTGCTGGACCCGTTCCAGACTCTGCACTTCATCTATTGTGATAGGGCAATAGGCGGGTGAGCCCTGCGCAAGCACCGGTCTTATTATGGAAGAGAAACGGCGAGTGGCAATCCCTTCAAATCAAGTGCAGAAACTGCGGCTAAGTGCCTAAGGCAGACGTAGTCTGTTTACATACAGTCTGTTCGCGTTGTCTACAAACTTCAGCTCACAGCGTAAAAGGATGCCTGGATCCTTTACGGAACTGGTGGGATTTAGCGGGTGGCCGGCTAGTGTGTACGCACACCCAGTATTACCCCTCCACAGGCTTATAAACAAGGACTTTGCAGTATTTAACAGCAGGTCAGCTTCTGCAGGCCACCGCGATAGGCGGACGAGGTCTGCTGAAGGACGTCGCAGTGGCCAGAAGAACCACTAATCCACAAAATCTTCAGGACATCCGACATGAATATGCAAGGCAACGGAAAATCCTGAGGTACTTCGTTATTGTGGAGCCGGAATAAAATGGGCCCAGCACTGTGCCTTTGGAAGCGTCGCTAGTGGATGAGTACCATTACGTTAGGTTATAATCATCCACCTGAACCATATGGTTCATCTTATCGAAGCTTTATTGAAATCAGTGTAGATAACGTCCACTGACTTCACCGATTCAAGGCCTGCAACCCTACCTTTCGTGTCACAGCAGGTTGGTGGTGCACAAGCGGCCCTGCATGACGCCGTGCTGTGCCGGCGTACAGAGATATCTCGACTGTAGCAGCGAGGGAAGGATCTTTTCACTATCATCTCGAGCACTTGAACCGAAACAACGGTAGTATAAATCGGCCGGTAACTGTCCACTTTGCGTGGGCCGCCACCTCTTGTAAACAGTTTCACAGCCAAGCATTTTCTGCTGTAAGGCAATTCACCCTCTGACAGCGATCACTTGAACCGTTCCTTCACGGCAGGCGAGACGATGGCCTATAGGGACTTCAAACATAGTGAATAAAGTCCACCGGTTCCGGCTGGTTTTGTGCCATTAATACTGGCGACTGGACTGCGGACTTCTTCTACACCACAAGCAAGTCCCTTAAGTTCCATACGGGATGCACATGTGGAGCTTGGCATTAATGTATGACGACTTGTATATACGTATGTAAAGTGTTCCGCCAAGGCGAACGCACGTTCAGTTCTGTGGAACGGCGGCTGCCCGCCAGTGCCCTCTAACACAGCTACCTCACTTGCCGGCATCAGGCGCCGCTACAGTAAACAATGAGCTTCTTGGGGCCGCCTAAGCTGAGGTCGCATGATTCTCCTCGAACTGCGGACGCTTTATAAATAAGTAAATGAATATTATATTCTCGGGTTCATCGTGGCACCCTAAATCAGGCATGATCAAACTGCCTTCGCGCTTTTGCGCCGTTGCATAGATCAGGCTGCATTTTGCACGCGTCATAATCGTCAGCACAGCCAGAGACGAAGAAGTTAACCAAATTGCACCTCGCCGACGAGTCAATTGACAATACCATCTGTCGAACTCATGTGGCTACTCTTGTCTATCTTTTCGGTAATTAAGGTACGAAACGAGCGCACAACGATTGCACACCTACTTTTCTAAAAGACCATCAGGCTTCAACAGATTAACTTTACGGCAGCGACTAGTCTACGTCACTGGCGGCTCGATTTAGACCATTGGATCCGGTTTCCCCAAAAACTGTAGGACGGCTCCTGCAAACGTGATTAGGGCAGTGGCAGCTCTAGGCTGGCTAACACCGTCGAATAGACACTAGCCGCCAGAGGCTGCATAACGTGAAGCTTGTCCATGGTGCATGCAACACGGAACTAATAGGTCCAGGCAAGATGGAGCCGAATGCGGTATAACGCGCGTGGGTTGACAGACATGTTGTGTTGCCTGACTTCCCAATACCTTCTTTGCATTCGTCGCAGGAGCAGCCATTGATCTGGACTTACTGGTAAGTGCCCTCCGGATTTACCGGGTTTCGGTCAGTCTAAGAACGGCCGTTAGACGTCAGGCAACGAAGTAAAATACCTCGACACGTGTGTCCAGTAAACCTTTGTGCGACTATGCACAGGCCACAGTAGGAACCGTCAGGTGCCTATATAGCGTCATCCATCGGTTTAGCCGGGTTCGGCGGACCCTGGAAAATGCACAAAAATTGCCCTGTGGGGACGAACGTGGATTATTAGACCTCGCAGCCAAGTGAGGCAGGATGGTGTCTGCCTAGGACTAGCTGCAGAAACAAGGGTGACTCGCAGAGGCCGGGATTTCCCTCCTCACTTTTCAAAACGGGTAACCTGCTGCACACGCAACCCCTATTCATACGCAGTGAGATGCCTAATAAACAGCAACTGCAGAAAATCCACGTCGTGGTCATAATGAGTCTGAGGACAAGCATCAGGCACCTCGGGTTCGTGAAGCATCAAAACGGTTACAAGCCAGCTGCATGCAGGCACTTGTCTACTCCTTCTTGCTCTTTTGCATTCTGTTTTGGCCTTCAAAGCTTGCGCTACCCCCCACTAGTAAATTAGCACCCCTAGGACGCCACACAGGCACTCCAGCTTGGTTTCCAGCAACAGATCGACATCACGCTGGAGTACCTACAGTCGGTGTGCAGGTGGGCTAATTTGAAAATAGAGGTGCCTCGGTTTCCGCTTGCTTAGCTGAGCCCACGGAGTTACGCCCTAAGGAACTTTACACTCATCTTATAGGCACACGCCGCTTTTCGGATGTTTGTGATTGCACAGTGGCCTGACGCTTCTAGCACATTCCTTGGACAAAGCCATGCTGTATATTACGCAGTCGGGGAAAATGCTATAAAGACAACCAAATACACGAAATGTGGAAATACACACCATACATGAAGCAGGTAACAGCACTGACTATATGCCTAATTACTTTTCAACTTGTGCCACAGGGTGTCGGCTTTCGCATAACCGATAGCTTAGCAGAGGTGGCTGTAAAGGTGATAAAGTGCACGATGAGTAAAGGATAAACTATCAGCCTAAAATACAAAGGCTGGAAACAAATACGCAATACAAAAATTAAAAACCCAAAAAACGTAGTTGCCTATTATAAACACGGAAAATCTGCTATGCACAAAGTAATGAACGATGCAAACTGGTCGGCCAACTAAAGCGAAAAAAGTGGTCCGGTGAGTGTCAAACATTCGTGGCTACCAATTAAACTTGCACAAACCGAAGCGTGACCGCATTGGAGCAGCTTTTCCGTTATGGCGTACTGTTATGGGAAATGTTGACGCACCACCCGAAGAAGTCGAAATAACATTGACGGTGCAAGAATTTGACCATCGGATTCACGCCCTCGGTCAGCCGATTAAAATATTAACCTTCACGCCTTAGGATTTTACTTATTCATTGCGGCCTAATTCTCCATACTACCTTTACATTTGCATCCCAATAATTTTATATAATAAGATAACCAGCTTTTTAACTAATTCTTCTTCGTTTTAGCTTGTCCATGTGGCCTGCACAGCGCAGACTGTCAGTGCACGGAAAGTGGGCATGGTTTGGTTGACCATGTGAATCGTGTGTTGCCCTGACTCACCGTTGGCAGATCATGAATCCGCTTTCCGTTTGTTCAAGGACGAATTCGAGGGTGGAACATTCAAAGGATCGTCCGACTGTTCCAGTCCTAATTGAAACTGAGCAGGCTACAGCTATTCGGACAGATGTTCAATTACTGTTTAACCTAATTAAAAGCAGTAAGGCCAACGCTAATTATAACTAAACCACCTGAACAGTGGTTTTCTTGGTCCCCAGTGCAGAGACGCCTCAACCTGAGAAGGACGATTTCGTCCTTGAACGTGACCTTCAACGATGTCTTAACGTGATCAAAGCAACTGCGTCTGTCTGGACGATGTTTGGGGTGCTTCTCTGTGCTGCTTACTTAGCTGTCCTACACGGTTTCCTGTAACCGTATGAGTCTGAGTGAGTTTATGTTTTCATCACACAACTAACATGTTTGCACTACGCGTCTCTTTAGACGTCATGGGAATTCCCAGTTGTTTTACTGCTGATATGAAGCGTATTAAATGTTTATACTTCCCTTTTACTCTAGCTTACTCCGCATATTTGTTAAGAGTTTTGGAGGTTTAGTTGTCAGACTGTATTTTTTACATTTAATTGTTTTTCGTAATGTCTTTACTATAGCAATATATATATGTATATATAATGTCATCTACATGTTTTCATTAAGTTTGTTTTGTAGTATGCTGCTAATAAAGGACGATCGGTGACATTTCGACAGGTCAGCTTTATGTTGTACTCAGCCATAGGTCCTTCCTCTATAAGTTATTCGTCAGACCACATTTGGTATATCGTACTTTACTGCTCGTATTGCGGCAACATAGCCAGAGTGTTTTCCAAATCGTCGTAACGAGACTGGACCTTAACGTTTTGCGACGGTTTGCGTACCTACCTGACCCATTGCGCTATACTGGGTGGAACATTGGAACATTGTATTTAATGGGAATAAAAGCTGGAGCTTTACATGACCCATAGGGTAAAAAAGAGTACGGGTCGGGTTTAATGAAAGGCCAAGCAACCTTATAGCGGGTTGGACTCGCGTGTTAGCCGTATCTTCATCGGGCTTATGTGGCATTTAAACAGAATGCACGCCGGCTCAAAGCGAGACATCCCACCACGCCCTCCGAAGCGGCTTTGGGAAGGAAGGTGGAAGAAAGAAAAGAAAGAAATTCCATCCAGTAGAATGTAGTTAAATTAGGGAATATCGCGGTGTAGCTCGGCCAGATGACAGTCCAAGCGGGCCTTAAAGTCCGCCACAGTGGGTGCCAAGACTAAATCGGCCGGCAGAGCATTCCACGGTCGGCAGATTCGCAGAGAGAAGTAGTGTCGTCTGCAGTTCAGCCGACTGTGCTGATGTGTGAGCCTCAGTGGGTGGCCACATAGGTGGGAGCCCGATCGGTGCAGTGTGAGTAGGTGGCGACAGGGATGTCCAGGGTTGGATAAGATCATGAATACGAGGATCAGGTCGCCCCGTAGACGTCGGTACTTAAGCGAGTAGAGGCCCAGGCACTGAAGTCGTTGTGGATAATCTAGGTGCTTGAGACCTCAGACCAGTTTGGTTGCTCGACGTTGTGGGGCTTCGAGTATGCGTTGGTCCTTCAACAACCAAGGGCTCCAAGTCTGAATAGCGAACTCCAAGTGGGGTCGGAGAAAAGCGTTAAGGAGGAGGCGGAAATTGCTGGGGTCAATTTGACCGAAGGCTCGTTTCAGCAATCCCACCATGCGGTTAGCAGCAGCAGCTGCTTTCCGGCAGGAAGCGGATACGGAAAGACTCGTCTGGGTAATGATACCCAAGTCTCTTTCGGCTGAAGAGATCTGGAGGATAGACGCTCCCAGGTAATATACAGGAGAAAAAGTGGAAGGGCGGGTAGAAAGGACGCGACATTTCGAAGCGTTAAATGGAAGGTTATTTTCTATGGACCACTGATGTAGACGGTCGAGGTCCGTCTGAAGTGCGTGGGCATCGTCCGGAAGGTTAATTGTGCGCCACAGCTTGGCGTCATCCGCGTATAGTAGCAGCGAAGACTCAACTTGCGGTGTGACGTCGTCAATGAAGGCTAGGAAGAGGTGCGGTCCGAGAACAGACCCCTGTGGAACTCCGCTTGTGGCAAGGATGCGGAGAGACAACGCTCCGTCGACGCGTACTTGGAAGGTACGGTTTTGGAGGTAGTTCCGGATCCAGTCCATCAAGTCCCCTGAAACGCCGTAAGATGACAGTTTCCGCAGCAGAATCTTGTGGTCGACCTTGTCGAAGGCTTTAGCGAAATCCAGAAAGATAACATGCGTTTCTTGGCCAGAGTCGGCTGCAGTCGTCCAGCTGTCCCTGGCAAGTAGCAGGTTACTCAGGCAAGACCGTTGACGCCGGAAACCGTGCTGGCAATCAGAGAGCAGTTTCTGGGTCTCCATGTGATCCGTTAAAGCGTCTGCGACGATCGATTCCATCACTTTGGAGATCGTAGATAGGAGAGTTATCTTTCGGTAATTGGCCGGATCTTTGCGAGTACCGCCTTTGTAGATTGGTGTAATAGTCCCACATTTCCAATCATTGGGAACTTTGCTTTGCAAGAAGAAGTGGGTGAACAGCTCCGCCAGGGGTAAAGCTAGAGCTGCAGCGCACGCTCGCAAGAGCCGTGGGTGGAAACCATCAGCGCTAGGAGAGGCCGTTAGCCGCAGGGACTTGAGTTTCGCCAGGACCTTCTCCGGAGTGAAATGAACAGTCGTCAGGGAAGTTGAGAGTGAAACCGAAGAAGGTACCGTCGTTGTGTGCAGTGATGGAACGGAGAATGTGGATGCGTACTGCTTGCACAGGACTTCTGCTGCCTCGGTAGCTGATTTCGTGAGCCCTGTGGGGGTCGTCAATGCGGTGACACCGTGTTTGACTTGTCGAAGACTATTGACGTGTCTATACAAGGCTTTGGGATTGGATGAAAATTTACGCATAAGTTGACGCTGGTGCTCACTCTTATCTTCTCGTACAAGATGGACGCATTGGTTACGGATGGATCGGTAATATTCCCACGGAGTGGCCGTTGGATGGGAGCGATAGTTTCTCCATGCCGTGTTCCTGGAGGCAATCCATTTCCGTGTACGACTTCGGATAAATGCTGGGCGTCCTTTTCCTATGGAAACTTCTTTGCACGTCGTCGTAGTGGAGCAGAGTTCACGTAGAGTAAGGCAAAAGCTTGACCACGCGCTGTCGGCGCTCGATTGGGGCTCGGGTGACCAGTTGTTAGCGGAAATGAGAAGGTTCAACTTTCCGTAATCAGTCCAGCGTTTGGTATAAGTTGGCGTGCTGACGAGTTTTTCGGCGAAGCATATAAAATCGAAACGGAGGACGCAGTGGTCGCTAAGCCCCAAAGGGGCATCATACTCAACGTGCTCAACCATCAGTTCTTCGTAAGTGAGGACGAGATCTAGCAGGGACGGTTGGTTGTTGAATCGGAATCTGGTCGGCTGATACGTGTGGTTGTACAACGGGGCCGTGTGAAGAAGATCAATGAGGCCTCCGGCGCCTTGAGAGCTACTCCTACCAGGTTGGTCAATGGTTAGAGGTCAAACAAACAGTCTCCTGGTCACGCAGCTTGGGGGGTTAAAATGGAATGATGTTTATTTCTGTAGAATTAAATCAGTGCCACCTCTCCGCTGCCTTGCGGACAGTCTTTCGAGCCAAACGCTTTGGATGAGGATCCTACTTGTCCTCCTGTCTAGGTCTGGCAGTATCTCTGATCACATACAACCATGACAATTGCCCCAAACTGTAATTACCCCCCGCATCGGCCATCGCGCAGAATATCAAGTCTCTCCTTATCTGCTGCATACAGCAGGACGAATAAACAAAAACATGCTACTGCTGAAGCTTCCCTTCTTTTCTACCTGTTTCCGTTATCTTGACACCCATCACTAGTCATTCTTCCATGTGCCACTGACGTCGAACCATATTCGGCCGCCTTCCCACAACACCCACCGGACGCTTATCACCAACAGTCCTTTATACAGCCCTGCTGTACCCTTTCCCTTGCGACGTTCGACGTTCGCACTTTAACACAAACCGGTCAACCGGCTGCACTCACGTGCACCTTGGACACTGGGTATTGACGTGCGTTATTTGTCCGAAACTAATATCAGTGACCGTAATGGGCTTGTTGAATCAACTACCTCTGGCTTGTCCTCTATCTACTGGTTGCACATCCGCAGACGCTGATACAGCACTCACGGGTCAATGAGGTAGGTATCATTCTCGGTTACAAGGCTGTCGTCGTTGTTTGACTAGATTCCGGTGGACAGCCGTTTGTGCTCAGTCCGTTTGATGACATCAACTAAGGTTGATTCACCAAGTGGTACCAAACGTTGTTTCTTGTGTTTTCCATTTATGCTTCCACCACCTACAGTTCTGATGCTACCAAGGACGCCTTCTACCACGAACTAAACGCGCTACTACGCAGTACCTCCAGTTCTGATATAATAATACTTGCAGGGGACATGAATGCACAAGTAGGTCATCTGGGCTCTTCAAAAGCTCAGCTGGTTGGTGCTTATCGGCTCAACTCAGAACTGACTGATAGCGGGAAGCATCTGCCGCAACTCAGTTTGGAGCACCAGTTGTTTCTTAGTAGCACTGCTTTCAGACACCTTGGGCGCCGAAGTGCCACTTGGCGTCCTACTTAGCTGGTCAGCGTTGGACCCAAACAGATCACAGTGCCTTAAATTACAGGTGGCGTGGTTCCATCTTGGATTCCCGCTCGTACTGAAGCACCTGTGTCGACTCTGATCATGCCTTGGTACGCTGTCGTTTCTCCTTGAACTTTACCGGATGGCACACCAAGCGTCCCCTCCTGCATAGCTGTATGCTTTAACAGAAATACTTTTTTGTTAATGTTATTTCAAGTGATTGGCTGTCGCTTGATACCCCCGGTGTGGCTGCGCTTGATGTGCATGTTGACAAGCTGCCTACCTGTCTGTTACCCACTACCTCGTCCATACTGGCTCCAGGAGACAGTTGGTCGTTGCTGGAGAGGACGGGATGCACGGTCCTTGTGGCCGTGTTAGGCTCGAAGACTTCTTCCATGCACTTAGAGCGGACCACGGTCCAGCCACCGCCTTGTGTGCTCTTGAGGCCCCAAATACAGTGTGCTTGTGTTAGCCCTTCTTCGCATGACGCTTTGGTCAACCGGATAGGAAGGAAGCAGAAGACAGCCGACAAAGGTTGTATTAGAACCGAGAACGCTCATATTTATACGTCGGTCTCACCAATCCTCTAAACACCGCCTGGCGGATTTGGCTGTCTTCCTCGTACGCCCACGATGCACACTTGACTATCCGCTCTGTCTGGCCAGTTCACTGTGTTCCTCGGGCAAGCCATTCTTCATCCGCCTACGCAGGGCATGGCAACGTACATGTCTGAT